TTCGGAGTATCCGGGTGGCGCAGTTGGATCGGCAGCTTCCCCTTCCAATGGAATGGAGAGGCACGGCACTGCGCTGGATACCATAGCACATTCGAGTCACGAAAGAAGAGGCTACCAGTGTCGTAATCGCGTGGGTCGAATTCGTCCTGGAGAGGGCATCCAGAAGCGGCCACCAACATCGTAACGAGGGCGAAATGACCTTCAATAGCAGCCAAGCTACAGGACGTTCTAGCTGATACTGTGGTTGAGCGCGCGCTTGGAGATGGATCTTCGTCTAGGCAACAATCATTGCCCTATGGTATTGTTTCTCTCGATCGAGCCTGTACTACGTTCTGCATCGAAGATTGCATGCTCAACGACTTCCCATGTCTTAGCGAGAAGGGAGTCCCGCAGGTCCCCGTCGGTCAACATTGAGTCACCTGCGATGAACTCTGTAGAGTTTCCTCCGATCAAACGTGACGGATGGAATGCGCTTGGACCGAGACACTCACCCCAGAGCAGGAGGGCTCTCGCTCGCTCAGTAGGAGGCCGTGCCCATTCTCGACTCGAATAAAAATCGTGAGCGTATCTGGCCAGAGGACCAATGAATACGAGTTAACGAGCACCAACAAAATGAATCGATCCCACTCGTAGAGATAGGCGCACGAACAGCCCGCCAATCCTTCTCGAGATAACGCTCGACCCTTCACCTGGAGCGTTGAATGAGGTTAGAGTTAAATACTGCAGGCCAATCCTCTACTAGCTCAGTGACGTCTTTGTATACGCGGAAGTAACTAAGCGAGGGAAGAGCGTTGCCTTCGATGCTGAATAAGCTGGATATGACATACGTCGCGGCATCATTGCTGCCTTCTATAAGGACCACCTCAGTGGTTGACATAATGCTGTCAGCTCCAAGAAGGTGATCTTCCGCTGTATTATCGCACAAATTCGGGAGAGGGTCCGGCCAGAGGAAGCCTCTGTTGACTGTAAGGAGTCCAGCTTCCGACTGAGAGCACTCTGAATAACGCATGGTGACGACGACAAAGAACGGCACTCTGTTACGACTAAGACTCCCGTGATCCCTACCATTGTAGAAGCTTGTATGGCCCGAAACGTGACCTTCATGTCCTCTATGGCTGAATCTATTGATCGTAATCGATCGCCACTCCTAGTGCCTGAAAAAAGGCCTTTCGCAACAGCCTTTCATCAAGGACGAGAAGTGCTGTAGACCGAGCGATTCGACCGGGACTAGATTTGGTATGCCTCAGACCTGAGAGTTTCACTAGGATGCTAGGACAAGAAGAAGGTCCCTCTCCCACGAGAACGTCTGAATGGACTTCGAGGAGCAATCCGAATCGAAGTCTAGCTCACAGGCGAAACTGTACCTCCTTTTCGAGAAGTGGTTCGCCGCTTATCGGTACTATACTGCATTGGCCTCGGAAGGTCGCTGATAGATCATATGACAAGATCCTTGAACAACTACGGAGGTAAGCGAGCAAGACTAGACCTTTAGATGGGAGCTCCTGATCCTATGGACAACCTTCTTCGACGACAGAGCACAGACAGAGTGTAACCGAACGATGCATATGTTCCCGTAGAAGTGGGACCCACAACTGCAGAAAAAGGTTGTGTCATGGTCACCAGCCTACGAAACACTTCACGTGTTGCGCCCATTGCTACGTTCCTTGTCCAAGTGACTATATATACGTCTGACATGGTGGGTCACACGAGTCACGAGTGGAACGCTTATCAACTGTAATCAGTAAAACATACTGACACGCAGAGTCCACGACGATATGAGCGAAAGGGTATTGAATAACAAGAACTAGCAGCACCACAACGGTTATGTTGCACTATGGTCGCCGTGGTGGCTGATTACCGGGCGAGCGCTACTTACGACGCGCAACTAATGTTGAGAAGAAGTAGGCAAAATTCATCTTCTAAAGAGATGGGCTAAGGAGAGTATCGGTCAATGTAATGATTAGCGCTTGTATCAGATGCGTATGAGTTTCTCTAACTAAAAATGAGTTCCAATAACTTTCCGCAGTTTGCTTGCCTGTTAACTTTTAATGCCCCTCATTGCCGTTCCTACCTCGAAGAGGAGATCAGCGGCAGGTAGTTGAAGTATTTGATGGACTCATTTCTTGTCCACGAAAGAGTCCTCGCGCCTTTTCAGGGTTTTTCTTCAAGTGCCTGTTGGTATTTGGAGCAGTGGCGGCGTGCTTGTCTTGGACGATCTCATCTCTAACCACCTCGTTGAAGGTAGTAGTCCTCCCTTGCTTCGTGCAGCTCATGTGTTGTGCTTCTACAGGGCTCTACCAGTTCCCACCCATCGTTCCTATCAAGTCAATCAGTGCCCCGCTTGGTGGCACCCTCGCCGCTGGCCTCCATCACTGATATGCATGCTGAGATGGAGACCGAGGAGGAGGAGGAGGTTAGATGGCAGTGAGATGCGTTGCAGCTTGGATTCATCTCGTCTACAGGAAGAAGTCTCCTCGTGGGTCTACGTCACTGAGGTCGTGGTGGTGATAGTCCTCTCATTGCTGTTCGAATACGTAAGCAATCGGGCATCTTTGGGAGCATCGACCTTCTCGGCAGATCCAAGAGAGAATCAGAGAGAAGCTCGAGGAGGAGGGGAAGACTACTTTGGTGCGGATGATGGATACTCTCTTCCGGGAAATCATGATCCTTGGGTTCATCGGCCTGTTTGTCTTCATATGTAAGCGCACCAATAGCAGTAGCAGGTGATTGATCTGTGCGGCTCGTAAGGTACAAAGACGGGATTAGCCAAGGAGATAAGCAAGGCTGTAAGCTGGGTTGCTTTCCGAAGAGTTCGTCACCATGTGCACGTCATGCGAACAGGTCGTTGGTGAGGCGGCGAAGGAGGGAGGAGAGGATCCTCTTGCGGAGAGCTTCGAGTCAATTCATATGATAATCTTCTGTGTAAGTTAGGGACTTCAGATAACGAGTAGTGTGATGGACACCCTCAGGTGATGGTAGTCTTCATATTCCAGTGCATTACTTTGATGCTGGGTGCAGAGCGCATCACTAGGAGGTGGGACGTGTGGGAGCAGATGCCCGAGACAGGTCGGGAGAAGCACGCTGATCCCCGTCATAACTCCCTAGAGTAACTCTATCATCGCGGAGGCGTTCGCTGATCCATCCTGGCATCAGGCGTAGACTAGTCGAAAGAGGCTTCCTTGATGAGGAGGGGAACGAGAAGTCACCGTTGAAGTTCTCGGAGAACTGGGTAGCTTGGGTGTTGACCTCATATGTATCGCGTTTGTGTGTCAAGACGAGTATCTATTTTAAACGAATATCCATCGCGCTTCTTGTAATAGTAACCCATCCGCTTCCAATCGATGGGGGTAGCAAACCGAACACGCCAGACAAGTAGATGAAGGAGTTGTGTCGGTTTCGCACTGTCAAGTTCGACTGTATGTTCGGGGTCTCCTGAGCAGGAATATCCTTTCGGCGGTATAAGGTCGCTGTCGTTGTCGCTGAAGTTGAGGATGGGCAACTTGTGTGGTTTTTTCAGTACTCCTATGTTGTTCCTGATGAGCTACGTGATATTGTCATTTGGAGGCTTCTGCGTCATGAGTTCCTCTTCCCTTCACATCGTCGAGAACAGCAGAAACTGGCCTTGGCTTCACAGGTGGGAGTGGCGACAGTCCCATGCAGTGTCGTGTGGTGAGCGCCTGGCCAGGTGCCAGAGGTTCGAGACCCCATCGTTTTCGACTTTGAGAGGTATTTGACGGAAAAGCTTGGAGAGGGCTTTGTAGGGAGAGGGGGGGATCTTGGAGGATATGAGGCTCTCTGATCAGGTCGAACTGGTAGAAGTTGATTTGGCTACGTGGGTCGTCGCTGTTCTCTTCACACCTTGTATTGCGTGGGTGAGAATGTTGATAATGTTGTGTACTCTTTCGATCTAGGTAACTCTGTGTTCTCGTAGATACTGTCCTATGCCACTTCAATACGTATTGCTATGATTTGTGGTTTCTCGTGGTTATTGCTGTTAGCTATGTTCACCTTCTACGTAAGTATTGGTTCTCCTCCTCTCAAGAGGTATCCACCGTCAGGTTCATATAAGCAACGTTATGATGGCTCTCTCCCCGGTGGTCCCTTCGAGAGCAGTCGTGCTCTTGCAGATGCTCTCTGGTACACTTCAAGGCGATTGTCGTGTATGTCATTTTTCCCCTGTGTTCGGTTAGGCACATCCCTGGCAGCATTTCAGAGAAGTTATCGGTCTTCTCCTGATCGAGCTTCCACTAAGCGCCCCTCTGACAGTGAATCACCGGCTTGCGTAATGTGTGGTTTTTCGAAGGTCTTGGGGATGGACTTTTTGTGTAGTCGTCTGAGGAGGAGGATCTCACTGAGCCGCTACTACACGCTAAGTCAAGTGAGGTTACGGTGGTGTTTGTAGTGTGGTTATATGCAGTGCTCAGGAATGTTCTCGTGGGTGCCAAGGTTCCGCCAGCAAGAGGAATACTTCCGACCGCTGCATCAGAGAAGCACTGTGATGAAGATCATCTGTCAGCACAGGCATAGGGTAGGTTGATGGCAACGGTTGGTTACATACTGACTCGAAACAATGACTCATCTCTCGTAATTTCTCTGCAATTAATGTGTATTTTTTATCGTATCGTTATGACTGAGCTAGTAAGGGGAGTATGCAAGTGATCCAACTATCATCGGAAGGGGATCATCGATATGCGCGTTGCAGGAACTATGAGGGATGGGCGTTGCTTGCCGATCACCCTGTATGAGGATGTGGTAGGGAGTGGTTGGTTGTAACACCTCTGTAGTTCGAACTAGAGGCTGGGGTATTCTACGGCTATGGAGGTTTTGCGATTGGGGAACTTGACAATGATTATAAGAATACTTAGTTGGTATGTTGGTCTCTCTGGGGGGCGGCAAGAAGGTCGCAGTGGGGGCGCATTGCCCTTGTTAGGTTCCTAATGCACAGGAGCGTCTGATGTGGTTCGAGGAGTATTCGTTGGATATCTTTGCTCACATGCTAGAGATGATGATGTTCTTCCAAGCTGTTCTTACAGCAACTCTCATCGTGAGTTCTCCGCACCTTGTGGAGGAAGTCTCGACATGTGTTGCAGGTGCTTATCGTTGTTGGAGGCCCCTCTCAGTGGTCGGTCGTATCCTGGGTGTTTTACGTCCTATCGTTGGTGGAATGGGCGGTGATGACGAGATACTTGGTAAGTGTTGGTCATGTCTGTGGTGCTGCTAGTGTGACCGTTTCAAGGTACCTCACGCTATGAGTAGGCTCACCTTGGTGACGAGCATCGAGTATCTCAAAGATCCTCAGCTGATAGAGAAGGTAATAGCAATGAACACAATTTGTTTATCAATACGATGAGGCGTGTCTTATGTATTTCTATTTATTTCCGTATCGAATTGTCAGCGAATTTCGGTCGCTCGAGATGTGAGAAGTTTGACATAGAGTTTCGCTAGCCTATGGATCCATGGTTGATCCGAACATGTCACTGGAAGATTATTATCGAGGCGTGGAACTGGTGGGGAGATTGTGACGTATTAGTGACGTTTTGTGCTTAGGTTACTTTTGATGTTAAACGAGAACGACTATCGCAAGCGCTGAAGGTCCTTTCTGTGGTAAAGCTAGAGGGTAAAGCTCGACGTCTTGCCGCTGAAGGGGCAGATACCATCTCTGATGAGGAGTAGGTCGGTGGTGAGGTCACGTGTTGGATCACTCGGGCTCACTGTGGTAGGTATGAGGCTGCGCTGGCTACGTACAAGTCGCTGTCAGAGGAGGCCAAGGAGAAGGTCGAGTCGACCTTTGAGAGCTTTGATGCTGACCTCAGTGGAACTGTCGACTGTCAGGAGATGGAGGAGGTGCTAGTGTGATGGCTCGTGTTGGGGTGGTAGAGGTCATGGCTCAGGTTATGGCAGCCATGGGAGTGGTCCCGGGAACGGAGGCGAGCAAGTCGGCGTGTGCCCTCCTCAAGATGGTTGATAAGGACGGGTCTGGACAGTTGGACGAGGAAGAATTCAAGGTGTGGTATGTCGTTGGGGAGCGGTTGGTGGGAGGTCTTTGGTAGGTACTGATGGTGCTGGCTTTGGTGAAGCCGAGTGAGGAGGAGGAGGCTGAGGACCTCAGAGCCTTCTTTCGCCAGATTGACGTGGACTACAGTGGTGGGTTATTCTTGCCGTGGTTGGTGGGAGGCCTTTGCAAGGTTCGGTATCCCTGAGTGAGTTGGCTGAGGCATTTTCCCAATTGGGTGTACCTATGAACAGTGAAGAGGTCGGGCGTTTGGTGTAGGCGGCTGTATTGTCGTGACGGGTCTTGAGGTTGTTCATGTTGGAGGTATGAATGCTTCGGCCAAGTCAGGACGGAGCTTGGTGAGGTTGAATTTGTGAAGTGGATGCGTTTCCTTGAACATATGGGTGATAAGAAGGAGCATTCAGGTGAGTTGTGGCGGCTGGGAATTGTTTGATTACGGGCTGGGTTTAGGGGTGGCCACGGCTGGCGGAGGAAAGAATGCTCAAGAGGCGACTCCTTGACTGGCTCTATAGATTCGTCTGTTGATGAAGGCTCTGATCTGTAAAAGGAGTGGTACTCATGTGTCTAAGTGCTTTTTGTTATCGTTTTAATTCTAAGCGACTATGTACTGAACGTGTTTCTCGTTGACTGTCTCCTCTTTTGTGTTATTGTTCGCGAGTTATGAATGTGACAACACCTTCGTTGGAGGCATGTTGGGAGGGGGGACACGTAACACAAAATTACTTGTAGATGACCATGCTAGATGTGGGTGGTTGAATATGGTGTGGTATGTAGTCGTTTTAGCATGAGCCTTGGCTGGAGGTTAGATGAGGAAGCGTCATATAGGAGGGTCGTAGTTACCAATACAGTCGACCCATTCATTGGAATTATTAGGATTTAGGTCCTAATCTAGGAAGAGGTATTTAATTATTTTGAAGCGGCGAGATTTTGGTAGTGGCATCAGTTCTTTATGCTGCTGGTTGTGGTTTATTCGTGTTGCATCTGTCGTGACAATGCTCGGGCTTTACATGGTCGTTCGTAGAGGGCGTGTGATGTGGAAGTAAGCATCGCTCCGCCTGGCGTCGCTAGGCTTTGGGAGATTCGTCGCGTTCCAGTATACTAGCGAAGCTGTGGGAGGTTGTCTACTATGGCTCTTGTTGGTTGAGGTGGAATGACGATTTCGTAGTGGAGTGGTATTGTTGTAGTTTGTTCGTATTCATTTATATCAACACCATCATGACCTCTTCGGCTGAGGAGCTTTTTTCGAAGGTTGGCGTACGCGTCCCCTATACGTTGTTGCCTGCTGAAAAAGTAGACAAGACGAAATGGGCGGTTATTGCTTGTGATCAGTAAGGCGTGTTACTGGATGCTCCCTCCTTTAGCAGCTCCTATTAGGTATACCAGTGAGCCTGACTACTGGGAGCGTGTGGAACAGTTTGTGGGGAGCGAGCCTAGCACTCTGCGTTTGATGTTCCCTGAGGTCTATCTCGAGAAAGGCCACGATGAGGAGGTAAGCCCAGTGGGGGTCCCCGTTGCGCAAATGCTGTGTGGTAGATACTGAAGAGCATCTCTGACCATATGGCCAAGTACACGGCGGAAGGTGTGCTGGTGAAGCCTGAGAAGCCTGGTATGGTTGTTCTCCAACGAACGACCAAGACTGGATCTAAGCGCATTGGTTTGGTCACTGCTGTGGATTTGGAGATGTATGATTATTCTGTCGGAAGTCAGAGCAAGATCCGTCCTACGGAGGCCACCATTGAGTCGAGAATTCTCCCGCGTTTGAGTGAGTTGTTGTCACTAGTGTGTTAACTATGTCATGTTTGTCATTGTTAGATGTGCGTCGAAACGCTCCTGTGGAGTTGCCGCATATTATGGTCCTCATCGACGATCCGGAAAAGACCGTTTTGGAGCCACTTTTCGCTAAGAGGGACGAGCTGAAGCAGGTGTATGACTTTGACCTTATGGAGAACGGTGGTCATCTGTCTGGCTGGTGGGTTGACGGCGAGAGCTCTCAAAGTGCTGAAGTGGCCAAGGCCCTCAATGTCATTGCTGAGCCTGAGCGCTTCCACAAGCTGTATGATGCTTCTGCTGATAAGAAGCCGCTCATCTTCGCAGTTGGTGATGGAAATCACTCCTTGGCTACTGCTAGGGCCTACTGGCAGGAGGTCAAGGCGACTCTGAGTGACCCTGAGGAGATCGCTACGCACCCTGCGAGGTTCGCCTTGGTTGAGATTGAGAACATCCATGATGATGGTCTGGCGTTTGAGGCTATTCATAGGCTTATATTCGACGCTAACGGTGGTAGTAGGAAGTTCATCACGGAGATGACAGAGTTTTTGGAGAAGGAGGGTTGTGGCCCAGTCACTGTGAGCGAGACTGAGGAGGACTTTAAGAAGGCAGTGAAGGGCGAGGTTGCTGGTCATAGCTTTGGGTACATGGTAGACGGTGTGAAGGGTGGTGTTTTTGTTGCCAACCCGAAGAAGGTTTTGGATGTTGCTACTGTTATGGACTTTGTGGATCCTTATATGAAGAATAATGAAGCTAAAGGAACTAAGATTGATTATGTTCATGGTTTGACAGCTATTGAAAGGTGAGCTTTAGGGTGTGATTTGGGCGAAGAGTGGTATGGGAAATCTGCACGCATGCACATACGAGCCGTGATTATGCTGTTGTTTATTAGGTACTGCACTGCTGGTATGCCCAACGTTGGTATTGTGCTTCCTGATATGCACAAGTCGGATCTCTTCAAGACTGTTGTGCACGATGGTGCTCTTCCTCGGAAGACCTTCAGCATGGGCGAGGCCGACGAGAAGCGTTTTTACTACGAATGCAGGAGGATTCAAAAGGACTAACCACAACTCGGACCTGAGTGTCGTTTTAGGATAATCTATTTATACCATTGTTCTTTACTCTATATGTCGGTTGCAACTATGTCTACCTTGCATCGGGGGTCTAGCATATCGTTAGCACCAATCATTGTTGCTG